AAAACTGCTCGACTCGGAAACTCGCTCCTAGTACTCCTCGGTTGTCCTTCTGAGCGGTAGGATTTAGGCATAACCGTGGCATCCGGGCTTCCATAGTCGTAGCCTCGTTCTGAATCTAGGAGGCGTCTGGAACGAGAGTGAAGTCCAAGATGGCGCGTGAACGCGCCAGTTCAGCGATTACTTCTTGGACGGAAAATACCTTGTTTGTTGGTCCAAGAATTCCAGACGAAATAAAGCGAATGATACCCCATTTAACTTCGATAGATAAAGCTTTATTTAGAAAGATTTTGCAGGGTAAGTTGCCTTGAAAATATTAATTTGCATTCAGCTGTTTCTCGACCTTTGATTGTACAAGGGTCTGCTGAGGTTATGTTCACACTTGATGTCTGAGCACGGTGCCCAAGTATAATTCTCGCTAGGCGCTGATGTGAACACACATTTTTTTTTTCCGACACTCACACCAGAATTCAGGTACAGTGTCCGTGCATTGTCTATCAACTTTGGTGCAAGGCCTCGATATTGTACTCGGGCACTAAATGGTACTTGGGTACCAGGAGTACCCAGTGTCTGAACGTAACACTTTTTTGCGCCGGAGCTCAGGCACCATTGCACGGACACCAAGTGTGAACAATGCCTAAAGCGCTGTCCAACACAGTCAAACATTGTTTGGTGAACAAACATGTTGATGTTTTACTGAGTGACCAAACAGTATCAAACATGTTTGGTAACTGCCCAAACGAACAAAATGTTTCACAATGATTGATCAAATAGCGTTTGTCGTGGTTCAAGTCTTAACAAACACAATTAACCAAGGTGTCCAAATGGGAAAATGTTTGGCCATCAAACAAGTTTTGATTATGTTTGATCTCCAAACATTTCCTGTTTGGACAGGGCTTAAGAATCTCCTTCAGGGGTGAATTTATAAAATAGGACATTTTCACACTGAATTGAAAACTGTTCAGTGCTATAGAGTCATTGGTATTGCTGCATTAGAACTTGAAATTTTGTCTTGACTTGGACATTCTTTAGGGTATCTGTAGCTGGAGGTTTGGCCCCAAGCGAGTTCGCACCCACCTAGTTCGCGCCCACATTGACTCAACTAGCATTCAAGTATTAAAATTTGTCTTTCTCTCACCAACACTGTGGGCATAAGGAAATAACATCACACAAAACATGTTTATTTCTCATTCTTTAATCCATTGAAGGGAGAGGCCAACTTGAAATAGAGAGTTTTATAATGTGTTCAGGA